TTGAACCCAAATGTACAAGTACAATATGGAAAAAGAAAGTGGAGTTAAAAAAAAAAACTCTTACATAGTGAAACAAAAAAATCAACAAAAATCTCCTCTCCTAACAAAAGCATTGTTACTTGGTAACGTAAAACCGAAGTCCATAAGCTGCCAACCCAAAATGAAAGGCTAATTTTTTGTTAATGAAAGATTAATGGGGTCTAATTAAATTATGAGTCTGCTAGGTTTGGGTTACCTAGAAATCCAGTAACTTTTTGAAGGGCTTGGGTTATGAATCAGAGCCCACTGGGTTTCAAACGTTTCTTCCGTACGAACCACTACTGCACACTTTTGATGCTTACAAGTCATTGTTCTAAAACATTTTCGCGTCACTAAAGTCGCGCCTAAGAAAGCCGCCTCTGGTGGCTACATTGGCGGCTCCCCGCAGCACTTCCTACCCCTTTTCTGAAGTACGCTGAATACGGGACGGAGGCTAATGACTCAGTGGCCATCAGGGAGGGGTTTAAGTCCCTTCTTGGCTGTAGGTGAGGGTTCAAATTTCACCTGCAGTGAAAAAAATCTAAAAATTGTGTCATAGCATTCCCTTGATCTAATTGGGTATGTATACCCACTAACCCCCTACCACAGCCTCCTTAGCCTCCCTCACCCCCTAGATTAGGATAGAATAGGTTATACAAATATATCGTTGCTGACAAAAAAAAAAGTACGGGTTGTGTCAGACCACTCCCCCACCCCCCTAGATTAGGATAGAATAGGTTATACAAATATATCGTTGCTAATAAAAAAAAAAAAAAGTACGGGTTGTGTCAGAGCACTCCCTTGGTCTAGTTCGGTCTGTAAACCCACTAGCCCCCTACCACAGCCTTTGATCTAGTTGGGTCTGTATACCCGCTAACCCCCTACCACAACCTCCTTAGACTTATACAATAGTTGTCGTTTCCGAAAAAAAAAAAATGGTACAGCTATGAACCACTGAACTTGGCTTAGTGGTGGACTGTAGGTGGGGTTTCAAATCCCACTTGTAGCGGAAAAAATTTAAGAGTAATGTCAAAACACCCTATTGATCTAGTAATATTTGTGTACCTGCTAGCCTTGTTGTATGTGAATCATGTTCAAGCATATTAACTCAATATACAGGTACAACTGGGTTTGTAAGTGTACACCAATTTTTAAAACAAGAACAATAACCCACAAGTTAGAAGTGTCCATCACTGGTTGTGTTTGGATTGCATTTTTCTAGATTTTTTTGTAGAAAAATTACTGTAATGATTTGATATATGTGAGGTAAAAAGGTGATTGAGAAATATGTTCTCGGAAAATGTAGCAATTTTTCTTTGGAAAATGGCTGTCCGAACAAGGTTTTTTAAATTTTTTTCTACAAGACCAACATCCAATTAATGTCCAAACTTTTATTTGATAATTTGGATATTGGTAATTAGATTTCGCCCAAATAATCTATTCCAGTTATATCTAAATATCATTGAATATAGATTACTTAACTATATTTAACATGTAATTAACAATATGGGGGTTATTAACAAATTAATTGATATACGTTTAAGGTCATAAAAGCATAAATTATAACACTATTCACTAATAAATTAATATGTAATATAGTATATTAGTAGGTATGTAGTATATAAAATGTATTACTAAAATATTACACTTTATTTACACCTTATTTATACAAACTGATTTGCTTGTATCACCAACACATTTTTCAATCATCTTCTTATCTCACATATATCATATAAAAAAAAAGTGCTACAGTACTTTTTCACAAAATTTCTTAAATAATTTACAATCTAAACACACTCATTATATTTGGTAATTCGACTTGTAATCGGGAATTCAAGAATCAAAATTTAAAATTCATTCCCAAACTATTTTACCCAACTTTAAAAATTGGATATAAATTTTTTTTTTCAAATTTTGTTCCACCGATATCCAATATTCGATCTAAATTAGATCGACTGGATATTCGATTTTTCTTTTTTTCCTGCAGTGTAAACACTCCTAGTACCAATTACACCAAATCTCAAGTGTACCTGCCTCAATCCCAACTAACTATACCACAAACATCTAATCAGCCAGGGAATCTGATGGCGTATTCATCCATGAATATAAAGACCTTATAGGTTGTTATAATCTGACAAATATTTGGACATCGAAACAAATATGTCTCTTGGAATTGAAAAAAAAGACACTATCTCTCACATTCTGATTACAATTTGGTACATTCCTAATTGTATTACAAAGTAACTTGACGAACCTTGAGGAAATAATAGCCAAGATGAGCAAGCAAAATAGTGACTGGCAAGTAACAATCAAAACCTTGGTGGAGTTTGGTGTCCTTTAGTTGCACCATAAAATCTTGACACAAGAACTCTTGACGTTTGAAAGTGATTCCCACTTCCCGCTAGCAAGCGTGGGGTATGGTAACTTATCCATCCCGTGAGGCAGTAGTATAATTTTTTTTTTTTTTTTTTTTTTTTTTGCGTGAGTTTGATTATCTGAAAAATTTTATTTTGAATAATATTATAAAATTTTTTGTAATGTAATATAATGTATGTAAAATAAAAAGATAGTTAAAAATTATTTTTATATAACAAGCGAAACACTATTTGAATATTTTATTTCCAAATTATGGTGTCCAAACGGGCTCACTAGGGCTAGATTGAGCATTTCTATCGTTGTATTTGGCACATGGTGTGGTCCATCAAACTAAAGTTTTATGTCTATATCGAAGTGAGCTAACGCGCTCCACCGTTTGTGGACCAGTTTAGTTCACCTAGTTAGCTTTCATATTCCAAGCCCGTCACAAATAAATCAGAAAGGATCAGAAGGAAACAGCAAATGTAGACACATAACCATAAGGTCTGTCTAATGAATGCGGTACTCGTTAAAATGTAGTTTAAGTATTGAATTTTTTAGAAAATAAAGTTAGTTAAGTAACGTATATAAATGTAAAAGAATGATCACAATTATAATGTGAATATTTATATAATAGGTTGGCTATGATTTAGATGTATTAATAGGTACTGCTAAAAATTCATAAAGAAGATTTGATGAGATAAATGTATTGTTGTGCATGGATTAGCATATACAATACTAGGTATGTGTTGAATTTAGCCATCAATTGATTTAGCATAAAATGATTAAATCGCTTTCGATCTTATTGGTGCACGTTTATTTAATTATGATCTAAAAGCTGAAGTAGATAAACACAGCAGTATATTATTGCGGCAAGAGCAATGTCAAACTCGATGCAATACTTAAAAAATCTTTAAAGACCTTATTCACAAAAAGGGCCATGGTTTGGAAGGGGATAAAATGTACACCATGCCATAGACATTTTTTTTTTTTTTTAAATTTCTAAATCCGCAAAACACAGACCAACAAGCCATAATAGAGAATTTAGGACTTCATTACTACTTTGGTCAAACAGTGTGCTAGAAATTTATTATCCCTTAAGATTACAATTTTTACATGGGACTTTTTTCTAGCTATTTTGTCAAATAAAAATTTTGCTATGCTGCATTTCGGCTGATAAATCCCTTTCTTGGAGCTGTATTCAACAATAATCGGATGATGGGTAAATATACATCACAGTTGCACGACAAAACAATTGGTTATATTATATTATCTTGAAATTGGTTGTCCCTATCCGAAAGGACCAAAACCTGTAAACAAAGTACTTTGAGGACCACCGAGTCACTTCCTGCCCTAATCTTTTTTGAGGTCTTAGACCCTTTAGATGTATGATTAAGGTATCAATTATCTTTGGATCATGGATTCCATTATTAATTCTTCGTGAAGGCTTCATTAGAGTTCACACTCATGGTCCTCAAAAATGGACAATGGATGTGTGTCCAGGGATGAAAAGGATTCTGGTAGCGCCACAGATGTTATAATTTTGAAAGTTATAGATAAATATAAAGTTTTTTTTATCGTTACTTGCATCGCTTGAAATTTTAAAAATGTGCAAAAGTATCCGATGAAAAATATTAGGGATTAAGAGACATTCATGTGTTGAGTGATCTGACTTTCAAAATCATAGTTTGTATAACATCCTTAGTTTCCTTTTTCAAAATGAAAATCACTGTCGAATCTCAACCATGGATCCCTTCCATCAATTGGAAAAGGTCAACAAGTAACTTTAGTACAGCTAAAGCAAGCATGACAAAGATGAGATGGGAAAATTGAGATACAACTGATGGTTTGACAGAAATTCACGGGCCCCATGTATTTACAAGTTAAATATGTAGCAAAGCTTTCAAACATGGCATATCCGTATATACACCACATGGACAAATAAAACAATAGACAACTTGTAGTAAGGAGCACCCCTGCGTTCCATACCATTCTTTCCTATATATAAGTAGGATTTGCCTTCCAAGAACTCATCAATTTCATTGTTCAAACCATGGCAACAATACAACATATCCTATTGTGTTTGTGGTTCCTCTTTGCTGCAATCCCCCAATTTCTGCCCACCTGGGCACAAATGGATACTTACATCATCCATATGGACTTAGCATCCATGCCCAAAGCTTTCTCAAGTCATCAAAGTTGGTATTTGACTACCCTTGAATCAATATCGGATGCTACAAGTGAAGCCACCATAGATTTTCCACCCTCCTCCAAGCTTCTATATACTTATACAAATGCTCTTCATGGTTTTAGTGCAATTCTCTCTCCTTCTGAGCTCAGAGCCATGAAAGATTCCCCTGGCTTTGTTTCTGCAATTAAAGACAAGTCTGTTAAAATGGACACCACTCACTCCTCCAAGTTTCTTGGACTCAATTCCAAGTATGGTGCGTGGCCTAATTCAGATTATGGGAAAGATGTCATCATTGGTTTGGTGGATTCGGGTGTGTGGCCAGAGAGCAAAAGCTACAGTGACGATGGAATGACTGAAATTCCATCCCGATGGAAAGGACAATGCGAAAGTGGCACCTAGTTCAACTCCTCGTCATGCAACAAGAAATTAATTGGAGCCCGTTTCTTCAACAAAGGTTTACTTGCCAAATTCCCCAATTTGACAATCTCAATGAATTCTACGCGTGACACAGATGGACACGGAACTCATACTTCATCCACTGCTGCTGGAAGTTACGTTGAAGGTGCTTCCTTTTTCGGTTATGCCTCTGGAACTGCCATAGGTATGGCTCCACGAGCTCGAGTGGCCATGTACAAGGCCCTTTGGGAGGAAGGGACGTACACGTCTGATGTTGTAGCAGCTATCGATCAGGCATTGATAGATGGAGTTGATGTCTTATCCATATCATTGGGAATAGACGGTGTACCATTTTACCAAGATCCTGTTGCAATAGGCACATTTGCAGCCCTGGAAAAGGGCATATTCGTGTCAACATCAGCAGGAAATGAGGGGCCTATCTTTGGGACATTGCACAATGGGACGCCTTGGGTTCTTACAGTTGCTGCTGGTACAATGGACCGCGAATTCACTGGGACGGTATTTCTTGGAAATGGGATATCAATCTCTGGTTTGTCTCTCTACCCTGGCAATTCTACTGCTGCCAAAGTCCCAATTGTCTTCATGAATAAATGCGAAAACCAGACAGAACTGAAGGAACTGCAAGGTAAGGTGGTTGTATGCCAAGACAAGGATCAGACGTTGAACAACCAAGTCAATAATGTTCAAAACAGTAAAGTTGCAGGTGCTGTATTCATTACAAACAACACTGACTTGGAATTCTTCCTTGAAAGTCAATTCCCAGCTGTGTTTCTAAATCTTGAAGACGGTGAAGAAGTTTTGGACTACATTAAAAGTAGCTCAGCCCCAAAAGCAAAGCTTGAATTCCATGGAACACAACTCGGAACTAAACCAGCACCAAGAGTGGCTAGCTATAGCTCCAGGGGCCCATCGCAGAGCTGTCCCTTTGTCATGAAGCCCGACATTATGGCTCCAGGTGCGTTAGTCTTGGCTGCATGGCCTCCAAATTCTCCAGTGACTCTGGTGGATTCAGGCCAACTTTTCAACAATTTTAACATTATATCGGGGACATCAATGGCTTGCCCTCATGCTGCTGGAGTAGCAGCCCTTTTGCGGGGAGTACACCCTGATTGGAGTCCGGCAGCCATTCGATCAGCGATGATGACCACAGCTGATATATTGGATAACACGAACCACCCGATAACAGACATTGGATTAGATAATGAAGCCGCAAATCCTTTGGCTATGGGGACTGGCCATCTTAATCCTAACAAGGCTCTGGACCCTGGACTCATATACGATGCTGGAATAGAAGACTACGTTAATCTCCTATGTGCTCTGAATTACAATTCCAGTCAAATTCAGACTGTCACAAGGTCGTCTTCTCACAATTGCTCAAAACCATCACTTGACTTGAACTATCCATCATTCATAGCTTATTTTGCAGCAAGTGGCAATCGCTCAACCACGCAAGAATTCTCAAGAACAGTAACCAATATTGGGAGTGAGATGTCGGTTTACGTTGCAAAATTGGTGCCATTGGATGGATTTAAAGTCACTGTAACACCCGACACATTATCTTTTAGACAGAAGTATGAAAAGAAAAGCTACAAATTGACAATAGAAGGTTTTTCAGTCCTGAAAAATTCACTAGTTTTTGGTTATCTGAGTTGGGAGGATACCGGAGGTAACCATGTAGTCCGAAGTCCAATCCTGGCCACGACCCTAACTGTAAAAACATTGTCAGGACACAATTATTAATCACTTACATGTATACTTTAGTATGTATGATGATTGATGAATAATTGTTGAATGATTACATTTCTGCAAAAATTTCAGTGTCTGTTTGGTGAACAGGTCTTGTCGGAGCAGAAATAATTAGGAATCTGAATTTCATGCAAAAAAATATGTGGAAAAAAAAAATTGCAGCAGGCATACAGCTACTAGCCTGTCAGACAATGACCAATTTTGGCTGAAATAAGGCTCTAATGGCCATTTGTTTGGTGGTATAATAACAGAAACAAATCCCGTGATTCCCAAACTGCAAAACAAGTGCAGGAAACTAAAAACAATTATTGTTGGGCACGATTGCTCAATCATGTTTTGCACAGGACACATGTCTTTGTCATATTACATCTGCAATAGAATTTTTGTTCTTCATTTTTTTTCTTGCTCTAATGCAAGGCTAATTGATGATTTTCTATTTTATTTCATTCAACTCACGCCTTACCATCGAATAATTAAATCATGCTGACTAGCTTTTTTTTTTTTTTTGCTAAATCAGAAATTTCAATCGATTTTCTTTGGAATTCAGCCCCCAGGAGATTTTGTAGAGCAATTAATGATGGACACCTACTAATTTTGGTTATAATTTTCTCCTTATTTTCCTCTATCACGTGTCAATTCATCATTAATATTAGTAGAGATAATTCACTAAGAATACAAATGAAGAATACTAACAAGTCACGCCTCCTCTTTTGAATTGTTCTTCTGGCTTAATTTCATTTGCTTTTCTTCTCCTTTGGGGTCCATTAAGGGTGAGGCTGATTGAACACATTGTATTCTTAGTCAATTGGGTGTCATTTTGTCCACTCAACTGTCTTCTTGCACGGAATAATTGTCTTCTTTCTCTTTCCCCTTTTTCCGTAATTACTATTGAGTTTTTACCTTTACTTTTGCCTATTACACACGTCCTTTACTACCGAAAGTGATTTCTTCTCTAGTAGGATAATGTACTGGCCACTTGTTACCAGCCACACATGGGCGGCTAGCTAGCCTTTTCTTCCTGAAACATTGAACATAGGAAGCAAGTAATGCAGTTGTTTTCGACGCCTGGATACTCAATTCCTTGCTTAAGAAGAGCTGAACAAAAACCCTTTTGCCCGATAGGTTATTACTAGAAGGCAACTTTGATATAGAGACAGAAGAAGAAACGTTGATCAAAAGCTCAGATGTAGAGACAGAAAAAGAAATTGTAGTAGCAACATACATATAGGTAGGCAATTTACACACATAAGTATGTGTGGCAGAGAGAATAATGTCATCAATATTATATTAACACCATCAAAATAGATTCATACGACTATCTATTTGTAAAATAAATGATTTATAAGCAAGTGTTGACAACCGCACCAAAATTATCTAATAAAATATTAATTTTTAAACAATAAAACTATTATAAATTGACTCTAGTATACTACTAAAAATTTAACTTGACTAAAATACTACTACTAAACAATAACCTCGAAACTTCTATATTTTAGTGTTGATCTAATATGCCGACTGGAATGGAGAAATAGGAATTATCAAGAATGCCTAATAATTGGCCATACAATATTCAATTATAGTAGCAGACAGCGACAACGATAGGCCTAAATACAGCTATACCCCATTCGTTCCTCCAAACCAGTTGGCTGGAAATCTTATTAAAGTGCCACCATGCCTTGCCTCTTCCGTGACTCATTCGAGTTAAACTAGGCACAAGTACGAAACTTTCTTGAATGTCCACAGCTTATTATAAGATGAATCTTTTTGGAACTTCTGTCCACATTGTGTAAAATAAATCATGTTGGACGATTTTTAACAATTTCATCAATGAATCTCGTTTGTCCTTTTTATCAAAATAAAAAAAAAAAAAGAAGATGAAGCCGCCATGCTCCAAATATGAATAGAATATGACCATGATAATAAACCTTCTTCACAAAATTTGTGGAGATTTCCATATTGCATAAAGGGGTTTTTTTTCCAATGAAAATAGGATCAGTTCAAAACCTTTGCGCGCACCTTTTGATCAAAAAAAAAAAAAAAAGGGCATCAAGGTTGCACAATTTCAATTGTCTACGAGTGTTGCAACTAACCTAATCTTCTTCAAATTATTCAACGTGAACTCATGAAATGCAGGTTTCTTTTTTAGCAATTAATTTTGCTTACTTCAGTTTGACCCATTTATAAATTCGTGCGGTTGGTACCTCTTGACCGTGTAAGAGTCTGAGGTTTGTGACATGTCATCCTGCGTTGATGATAGATTTTGGATTTAGCATCATGAGACTCTGTGAAGTCAATAAATATACTCAATAAACGAAAGGCTGTAAAATCTTTTCAGTATTCCGTTTCCTTTAGTAAATTTTGACCGCCGAATTTTGTGAAAGATGTTAGTTAGTGGCCACTATTCTACTATTCTTTCACTTCGCTGCATGGCTTGATCAATCTCTTGGGTCTTTGTTTAATCCTTTTGGCCAGAACAGTCAGGCAAAGTCCAGCACTTGTGCCTAACTTATCTTGTCCGAATCTGAGGCTTGACTTTGGTGCCTATTAAGCATTAAAGTTTCATGCCTTCCAATCGAGCAGTGCCAGGTAAGACTCCAATACCCAAAATTAGTCGAAAACTGATGAAACTTAATTTGAAAACCTTCATGGCGTACCAAATCTAGATACAAATTCTTGGGAAATCTGTACACTTTACCTAGTCTTGAGTAAATTGTAAAACAAATATAGTCATAAAATTATTGCTTTTTCGATCTTATTGTGTCAGTAGAGACAACAAGAGCAAGTAGTCTTTCACTATAAATCTCTTCCATGGTCCACGTTTTTTCTTAATTGTGTGTCCTTTCTCTCCAGATTTAGTAAAGTTTTCCTTTTCATATATTCTCTCTCTCTCTCTGTATGTTTTTTTCAATGTTTGTTAGATGTAGAAAAACTAGTTTAGATTATTTGGTTAAGTACTATAATATAATTTGTGCTCGTGAGGGAGTTAGCTTTTACTACGTGATTTATTAACCGCCTCTCACTATAGTGGTAAGCTACATATAATGGCAATTGGAGAAAAACAAGATTTGAACCTTTGACCTCGCACCTTTCCAAACCTTAAAAACTATTGTAGTAGCCAACAGCCAATGTTTGTTAGATATAGGAAAACTGTACATTAGTTGGTTATGTAGTATAACATAGTTTGTGCAAGTGAGGAAGTTAGATTTTACTAACTGATTTAATAATTGTCTCCCACTACTCAACTCCTATTCCTACTTTTTCTTTTCTAATATATACGACTAATATCTCGTGGTCATCTGTACACTCTCTCCTATACCTATTAAACTAGTGTGAATACCCATGCTATGCAGGGTGCTGACATTATTAAAAAAAATAAAAATATGGTGAATAAAAAAAGGTTAAAAAATTGTACCAACAGAATTAAAATGTAATATCTGTCTCACAATAGTTTGAAATATGATAGAATGTGTATATCATTCAAGAACTGCCTTTTTTGGAAGATAAATCCTGAAAAAATCATAGAAATTTATATTAGAAAATGAATGATATATGAATAAAATAAATGTTGTTAAAATGAAATACTTACAAATATTATGCATTCGATTTGATAATCTTGCATGAAGGTGTGAACACTCTTCACACCAATCAACTTTTAGTACGAAAGCCAAAATTGGTGATTTAATTAATTCTGTTGAATTTTGTGGAGTGCGTACTGCAAATGAAAATGCACGATCTTTGCATGAATTGATTCGTTGGTTGAACAACCTATCACCATTTTTCTGAGAATTAAGTACATACAAAATTCAAAATTAGTATAATTTTTTTACATAGTTTATAAATAGCATTATAAAAATAACTATATATCAAGAAATTCTATCTTCCTTTGAAATTCTCTAAGATAAGAAGCATCACAACCAAATACAAATCGTGCATATCTATCTTATAGATTAAGATGCATGTTACCACTGGAATCTCTGATTTGTATGTTAACATTGTACCTGTTTGATAAATAAAATGTTATATATAATACAGAAAAATATGTTGAAATTAAAAGTACATGAAATTAATTACCTAACAATAGTGTCGACCACGTCATTACAATGCAGACCAAAGTGACAAAGAATCAAATAATGACAATCTTTTTGTGATAAGAAACATTAATTCTTTTGGCCTAAAGGCACGGAAACTGTCATCATGACAATATCAAATACTATACATAGTTATCGAATTCCAAGAATCCAAACTAAGTCGCAAACAATCTGAAGATGTAAATTTTCTATCGTAAGAAATTTTTCATATCAAATTCCATCATTTTTGTATCTGGAGGGAACTTGGTTCCTTCAAAAGTCAAATACCAATACTTGTGCCATAAGAAAAAATATGACATAAAAATAGTAATGGACATCTATTGTTCCAACCATAAAATAAATTTTTATGCTTACTATTGCGTAATAAGTTGTTATTGAATAATGAGAAAATGAGTCTAAAACGATGACCTATTACCTAACATTTCACTTCTATTTAAAGATGAAAGACAATAACAGCAATAATCAATCAAAAATATTACATTATTGGGAATAATATTTAAAACACCAATGGAAATGCAAATGTTTAAAGAATAAACAGTATCGGAATTTCTAATTTGATGTGAACGACGTTTTAATCGGTGTAGTTGGGATTTTGTCCTTTGAATTTGATGTGAAATTTCTCTTTTGTCAACGCAAAGTTGCTGAAACTTTTCGAACTGTTGTGTAGAATCATTGCGGTGTACGCTTCGTTTTCTAAACAAATGTTTCCTCTTTTACAATCTTGCAAGTTTGAAATTTAGCTATCGTTGAAATGCTTATAGGCGGGCATGTTTAGGGATGGCAATGGGGTGGGGGTGGGGCAGGGGATCTTTCCCCCATCCCCCGCCCCATTGCCTATTAATTACCCCCGTCCCCCGCCCTGCCCCCGCCCCGCTTTCCCCGCAGGGTTAAAAAAAATTTATTATATAACTTATTATAATTAAATTTGAGCAAATAATCAATTACTAAAATATCAATACATTACCAAATTATTATTCATTGTCACTTCACAATTGAAATTC